GGTGGCGGGGGGGGGGGGGGAAGTGATGAAGCACTTCAGCTCTCACACGTGACAGCCCAATAGACCAGAGCATGTTTTACATTACCACTACGGGCCTGTTTATTCAACGATAACTTGGTGATTGCTCAAAGAACAAGCCCAGGCAGAATACAAATTAACCCTTGCAGTGGGGCTACCCCCACACTTCAAGGGTTAAGGGCTAGTTTTTATTTAGGGGACCGAAGAAAGAATATATACTTACCCGAGCCTCGATCCTGCGGCAGAGACCGCTCACCTCTCTCCCCCGGTGTCCATATTAGATGTAATAACTCATGGGTCATTAGACTGCCAGGGGCTGGGGTAGAAGGGGCTGCAAGGACAGGATCTAGCGGTCAGACTGGACCGAAGATCGGGTGAGCATCTCTTTTTTTTTTCTTTTACACCCTAGAGCAAAAAGAGCAATTAACCCTTGCAGTGCAGGGTTAGCACCACTGCAAGGGTTAATTTATATCCTGCCCGGAGTTCTTTAGCAGACCAAAAGGGAGTAAACGAGAGCTCATTGATAGGGTTTACATATAGTAGTGGCCAAAAGTTTTGAGAATGACACAAATCTAAATTTACACAAAGTCTACTGCTTCAGTTTGTATGATGGCAATTTGCATATAATCCAAAATGTTATGAAGCATGATCAGATCAATTGCAAAGTCCCCCTTTGCCATGAAAATTAACTTAAAGTGACATTAAACCCTCAGATTTTTTTAACATAAAACAATACTGTAATGTGCGCCTTACTGTAATCCATGGTTGTTTCCCTTCTCTTTGCCGCTCTTGGGACTGACTAGAGGTTAGTTACTTAACAGCTAATATTTACTACTTTTCTATCCAGTCGTCATCGGCTCTCCTAATAGAGGTAACTGGCACACAGTACTGGTATTAAAGATACCAGATATTATCAGAGTTAACAAACGTTTTCGATGTAGGCATTGCAACTGCGTATTTGATCATTAAAGGAGAACTATGAGGTGAGTGCTTTTCACTCACCTCATAGTTTTAGCCGACCTGTGACAATGAGACTGTCACAGGTCGGCTCAGTAGATCGGGAGGTGAGCGAACACATACCGGCGTTCTCGATCCTGTCACGGCTCTCTGCCGTGACAGGGGGAGGGGCTGGATTCCCCTCTCCCCGCACCTATTAATCCCTATGGGCCTGGTTCCCACCTGGGCGTATTTCAGCCCGTTTTGTCGCGCTGAAAAACACCCTAGTACTTGAGCTTCTTTTTAGCGTGTATCCATTGGTATTCCCGAGTGTGGCTCGAGGTTAATTTTCTGTACCAAAGCAGTAACCCCGAGCCACACTCGGGAATACAGCGTAGGTCTTACCTTGTCCACAATCCTCCGGCCGCTACCGGCATCCGGCTTCCGTCCCTTGCGAGCGTCCGCGTCGCAGGGGGGCGGAACCGGCGGAAAGTTTAAAAAAATATACAAAAAACAGATAGAGAAAAAAAAAATCATACTGCCAGGGAGGTTAAAAACACGTAGAACGTGGACAAAAAAAAGTGCTTTAAAACGCAAAGGCAAAAACGCGCCTATTAGGAACGCCCAGGTGTGAACCCAGCCTTACCGTTCAATTAACTCTGTAGAAGCTTTTCTGCTCAAATAAAGCAAAAATAACAAAAAAAAAACCCAAACACAGATAAATGTGACTGTATTCTTAATGTTCTTACCATGTCAGTTTCTCTATCTCTGTATGGAAGCTCTTCTTCACCGTGTTCCATTCTAATTCCGAATCCTACAAGCAGATAAGACAATCTGTGTTTATCCACACACATACAGATTATGGTGGTACAATCAAAAGGACTGAAAATAGAACCACCAGCATATTTTAAATTGTATCTGGTGGTTTTAAAATGCATCCGCTATCCCAGAAGTAGTGGCAAGCTGAGCTGTAGATCAAAGGGCCATTTATTCCAGATCCCTATTAGCTGGAGGCAGTGGAGGCATAAGAGGGATCACACCTGAGCATTTTGTGCACGCGGAAACGCACACACAAAAAAAGTGTGCTTTGACACGCGTTTGCAAAACACATGAAACATGCAAAACGTGCTTGCTGTGCCATCACCATTAACAGCACCCCAAACACAAGAAGACATGCATTCCGCACAAATGCAGAATGCATGTCGCTGATTTTGCTACACTACTTTTACACCTTTGTTGCGCGTTCAGGATCCCACTGAAAATGGAACTTTCGGTAAACACGGAAAACAAACGCGCACAAATGGGACGCGCATTCTCGCAATCCTCAGGTGTGAAAGGGGCCTAAAATGCCTTTATGGCGCAAACGTCTTTCGTAAACTTTCGCATCCATAATCTGCATTTCGGCAAATGAGAAAAAAAAAATGGAAAGGGGTAAGAAACAATTGTGTAGCAAAATGAAAGGCAAAGAAACATCAGAATTCTCTATCACTGTCATTTTTTACATCCGTGACTCAAAGTATTGAAGACATCACACCAATGTGCCAGGGAATTGGCATTTTCAGAAGGGGAAGTCACCAATTGCAGCCTAAGGTTTTCTAATGTCTTCCATATATTGTAAAGCGTTGCGCAAACTGTTGGCGCTTTATAAATACTATGTAATAATAATAATAATAATAATACTAACATGAATCTGACCTGGCTTAAAAAGTGCCCAAAATATATCACAATTCATCATTTTTTTTTATTTTAAATAGAGCAAGGAAGTATTAAAACCACTTCCAGGTTTTAAATACTAAAAAACAGTAGTTCATAAAATACCCTCTCTCATGGTCGAACAAATGTGGCGCTGCTGCTCCATTCTCCAAGTCAGCATCTCAAAGGGTTACAAAAATAAAAATGTAAACTCCACTGCGGGGCAACAAATGGAAATGGTAACTTTTCAAAAAGTGTTGACTTGCAATTAAAGAGTATCTGTGGCCAAAAAACTAAAAATAAATCTGTATTTCTACATCAAATTTTCATACGTTCTATCTCACTCCTAATAACCAGATCCATCTAGAAGTTTGTAAATGTACTTATTGAAGATGGCCATAGGATGTACTTCCTCAATGCACTGACACCATTTCACTCAGCCCTGTGAACATGCCCTTCCTTGCAAAGCATGCTGTCTGAGCTACAACTCAGTGTCTAAACAATGTAACATGATCATTGCTTGCAGGAAGCAATGCATGATGGGATATGTAGTCTTGAAACATTGAGATTGCATCACATCAAGCAGCAGGGAAAAGAGGCACAAAGCACACTGGTGATCCAGGAAGTTGTTGGAAGTGATGGGCAGACGGAAGGCAGCGCTCACTACATAAAAGGGATTTTTTTCTTTGATTGCATTATGAAAAACAACTCCAGTACGTATTCCTATTACAATGCTGAGGATATAACAGGAGAGGATATGCTGGGATTTTACAACTCCTTTAAAAGCTTCAACAAGCCGCCTTCAATTTCAACAGCGTTATAAAGGGAAAAAAAGACACACACAAAGTAGCCATTGTATAGCTGAAGGTACAACACACACCTGCTTCAGCCGCTTGACTGCATAATCGGTGTTCCGGATGGTTGCTTTATATACACAGCCAAAGCCACCCTCTCCGATCAGCAAAGACGGGGAGAAGTTCCCGGTACCATCCAGCACCTCCTGGAAAGTCCACTTTAAACTCGTAGATGGCTCTACTAGGTTTCTAGAGAGTAAAGATTCCTAAGGAAGAGACAAAAAAAAAAATAGGATTTTGGTACTCACCGTAAAATCCTTTTCAGAGTACCACGCCCTCCTCGGCCAATCCGGAGCCACCAGGATGACCGGGACGCCTTCCACCGTGAACCTGCGAAGAAGACGCGGCAACAGATACAGTGGAGGGAACACGTAAAATCAGACCGTAGCAATCCCATGGCGCCACCAGGGCGTCCACCGCATCTGCCCAAGGATCCTGGGTCCGGGCCACGAACCGCTCGACCCGCCGATTGAGGCG